CTTGCTGAGCATGCGGTGGGGTGGACACAGAAGATTTTGCGAGCACAGTACGCATATGAACGTCATGACATTAAGAATGACATTTCCAAGGTTCACAATTGCTCGAGGATGTAGCAGGAAGAGATGCGTCTCTTGAGTTTGAGGCCCGAATGTTGTCAATCTTAGGGACCTATGCAAGATGCATCATGATGATCCATGATCATCCATGATGAACCTGTGGAACCTGGCCATGAGAGGATGCATTGCATTCAGATGCAGCTCGCAAAGAAGAGAAGTTGGAACTCAAAGGATTCCTTGAAGGATCAGAAGAGCAGGTCGATTGAGTCAGTGGTGCATCTTATCCGCTGTACCCATACATGAAGTATATGAAATTACTTTACTTCGAGTGATCCCCACCAACGGACATATATTCTAACATTCTATGTGAATCTATGTGACATATATTCTGTCTCACATTCTAGCTGAGATTTTATCTTGCATTTCCGGTCTGGGCAAGGCCCACAGACTCTGCAAGCTTGTGATAATGTTCAGGGTCGGGCAAGGCTCAGAGAGTCTGCAAGCTCGCGATAGTCTGGTGAGCCGCAAGGAGATTGCGAGCTTGCTGTAGCCAGCTTGCTGTGAGAGAAAGCAGAGCGGAGGAGAAGGATGCGGAAGAGGAGGGAGGAAGGAGAAGCTAACACAAAACCTGGAGACCCTCACTTGGCGGGTAAACAGCATATTCCTGATCATACGTGTGCGAAGCTGTTTGGTCTTGAATTTTGAAGACACACACAGTGCCAACTCTTTTCGGGCATGAACAACATAATTTGCTTGCTTTTGCCGTGCTGTAGTCTCCGGAAGTTGAGAAGCTTGCAAGTCTAAGCTGAGCAACGGGTCTTAGCCTGATTTTCAGGTCCAAAAGTTTCGCGAATCTGGCTGGGACGAAGGGCAAGGAATTCCTGACCCAGAGGCAAGGCGTGAGACATGAGCAAATAGGCTGACAAAGCCGCCTCGTAGTTGAGCATTGCATGGTTGAAATGAAAGAGTTCCGCATTTTTGAATACAATCTGCTGGTAGGGTAAGGTTGGGCAAGGTGCGACAAGAAATGTTTCGCAGGGGTGTTTGGGTGGGCGCAGTCACTTCACTTGCAAGAGCTCTTGAGAAATTCGACTTACCGCGCTAAATGTGTTCGTTTTGACAGTGCAAGAGGTGCCTGTTGGGGAGGTATCCTGAATCCGAACTTGGGCTTGGTGGGAAGCTTTCGTACGCTGACGTCGCATGTGGGGTTTTGTGACACTCGTTGCATGACACACACGCACACACAGACACACACACACACACGCAGGGTCTCGTCACTTTAATTTATCCCTCCTTTCATGTGTGCGGGCTAAACATTTTTCAAGTTTCTTCTCAACTATCGTTGGTAGGACTGCTTGAAACTATTACCCCTTCCCTTGGGCCAGGCATGTAGCATCATGTAGCATTCATGCAGCAAAACATATGAAAAGGAGTCTTGAGGTTTCCACTGATTGCGCAATAGTAAAACGGAACCGACCCAGGTGAATGCATAGCTGGCATAGCTAGATTCAACTTAAGCTTTGCATGGCGCCAGCTGCAGCTCACTCTATGCCTGTGACAGCATAGAGATATTAAACGTGCCAGCGAGCGAGTAAGAAAAACATGGCGCCTGTCCGAAATGTGTGAGTACGCCTCTGCCAGTTTCCAAAATTGGGAAGGTTGTAGGCGGGTGAGTTCGACCACAATAGTATCCATACTTGAGATCGAACCTGACAATGGTCATCGGCCCCGCGGGAATATCTCGAATCTCGGATCTCGGATCTCGAATCTCGGATCTCGGATCTCGCATCTCGGATCTCGAATCTCGAATCTCGGATCTCGGATCTCGGATCTCGGATCTCGGATCTCGGATCTCGGATCTCGGATCTCGGATCTCGAATCTCGGATCTCGGATCTCGGATCTTGGATCTCGGATCTCGAATCTCGCATCTCGGATCTCGGATCTCGACTCTCGGATCTCGGATCTCGGATCTCGGATCTCGGATCTCGAGTCTCGGATCTCGGATCTCGGATCTCGGATCTCGGATCACGGATCTCGAATCTCGGACCTCGGATCTCGAATCTCGGATCTCGGATCTCGAATCTCGGATCTCGGATCTCGGATCTCGATCGAATCTCGGATCTCGGATCTCGGATCTCGACTCTCGGATCTCGGATCTCGGATCTCGGATCTCGGATCTCGGATCTCGGATCTCGGATCTCGGATCTCGAATCTCGGATCTCGGATCTCGGATCTTGGATCTCGGATCTCGGATCTCGGATCTCGGATCTCGGATCTCGAGTCTCGGATCTCGAATCTCGGACCTCGGATCTCGAATCTCGGATCTCGAATCTCGGACCTCGGATCTCGGATCTCGGATCTCGGATCTCGAATCTCGGATCTCGGATCTCGATCGAATCTCGGATCTCGGATCTCGGATCTCGACTCTCGGATCTCGGATCTCGGATCTCGGATCTCGAATCTCGGATCTCGGATCTCGAATCGGGGATCTCGGATCTTGGATCTCGAATCTCGAATCCAGAATCTCGAATCTCGGATCTTGAATCTGGAATCTCGGATTTGGAATTTCGATACTTGGGACTAAAAGAAGAGACTCCAAACGTTCTTGCCAGGAACTTGCAGAAGAGATACCAGTTTTTAGATTCTGCAAATTCCCTGGCGAAGATCTTGTCTGTAGCACACATCGTGTGCAAGATCTTCGTGGCAGCTTCTGTAGAAGCTGCTGTGCAAGATCCCTTTGCAAAGTTTTGCATGGCTATTTGTACAAGGTGTCTACAAGAGATCTCCACGCAAGATGTCTGTAAATGTCTGTAAGCTAAGTAAGATCTCTGCTCAAGCTCTCTAATCTCTCTAGAAGAGATCTCTTAGCAAGATCTCTGTTTTCTGCAGGCCTCCGTACCAGTAGTACCGCACAAGGCGGTGGCGGAAGTTTCAAAAATAGGAAACCTATAGGAGAGATTGGTTGTTGTGAATCACGGATGGCAGAGCGAATCCACTGATGGACTGAAAGGTGGTTGGAGCTGTGTTTTTTGGGAGTGGCTGCAATGGTTGCAGTGGTCACCTGGTCGGTCACTTCACCCTGGATGTAGTGTGGTGTGGTGCAGCTGTAATTGTAATTTTAATGTAGTGGGGATGTAGTTGTGGCGTAGTGTAATTAATGTAGTGTAGTTGCAGCTTGTAGTGTAGTTGCAGTTGCGTTTGTGGTGGTGTAATGGGTGTAATGTAATGTCATGTAATGTAATGCATTGTGGGGTAGGGTAGGGTAGCGTAGTGTAGTGTAATTGAATGTGGTGTGGTGTGGTGTAGTGTAGTGTAATGCAATTAGTGTAGTGTAGCGTAGCATAGTGTAGTGTAGTGTGGTGTGTTGTGTAGTGTAGTGTGGTGTAATGCAATTAGTGTAGTGTAGTTGCAGTTGAAGTTGTAGTTGTAGTCGCAGTTGTAGCTGAAGTTGTAGTTGTAATGTAGTGTTATGTAATGTATTGCAGTTGCAATTGTAATTGTAGGTGTAGTTGTAGTTGTAGTTAGTGTAGTGTAGTGTAGCGTAGCGTAGCGTAGCGTAGCGTAGGGTAGGGTAGTGTAGTGTAGTGTAGTGTGGTGTGGTGTGGTGTGGTGTAGTGTAGTGTAGTCTTAGGTAGTTGTAGTTGTAGTTCGTATTAGTGTGACGTAGTGTAATGTAGTGTAGTTTAGTGTAATGCCATTAGCGTAGGGCAATGTAAGGTAGTGTAGTTGCAGTTGCAGTTGTAGTTGTAGGTGTGGTGCAGTGTCATTCTGCGTAGTGTAGTGTAGTGTAGTATAGTATAGTATAGTATAGTATAGTATAGTGTAGTGTAATTAGTGTAGTGTAGTGCAGCGTAGTGTAAATGTAGTATTGTTGTAGTTGTAGTTGTAGTTGTAGTCGTACTTGTAGTTGTAGTTGTAGTTGTAGTTAGTGTAGTGTAGTGTAGTGTAGTGGAATGTAGTGTAGTGTAGTGTAGTGTAATGTAGTGTAATGTAATTGATTGTAACTGAGTGCAATTGAGTGTAGTGGAGTGGAGTGTAGCGTAGTGTAGTGGAATGTAGTGAAGGTGTAGTTGTAGTTGTAGTGTATTGTATTGGAGTGTAGTGTAGTGGTGCTTGTAGTTGAAAATGCTACAAAACCCTCACGTTTAGCTCACTTTTGACATGGTGCACAATCCCTTGCGCCTGCCACGCGAAACGACATCTGAACGTCCAAAAGTGGTCCGAACCCCTGGTGTTTTGAACATTTTGACTTCGAAATGTGCCTCGCGCCACAGCAGCGTGCACTTTTTCGACATCGCAACTTCCAAAAGTGCTCCGATGCTGAAGTGTTTTTAGCTTTTTCACTTGCAAATGTGCTTCGCACCACAACGGCGTGCACTTTTTCATCTCTCATCTGACCAGCTGGCTCCGCACCCGCCGCTTTAGCGAGCCTACTTTTCGACCCGCCGGAGCCACAAATCATTGGAAAAACACAGTGCTTCGCGCCTTTCCTACCTTTTCGCGCACCTGCAACTTCTTTCTTCTGACTCTTTCTCTTCTCTGGTCTTCTCTCTTCTACTCTTCTCTTCTCTCTGACTCTTCCCATCTTTGCTTTTCATCTGTCCATATTGTCGGAAGTTTGACTTCCGTTTGACTTCTAAACTTTACAAAAGGTCGTCTCTTGGCAAGACCTCGTACAAGCTCTCTGAAAAACATATCTCGACAAGCTATCTCGACAAGCTCTGTTTAGGAGATCCTTTATAAGAGGTCTCCTGGCAAGATCTCTGCGCAAGATCTCTATAGGATATCTCTTGGCAAGATCTCTTTATAAAATCTCTGTACAAACTCTCTTTTCTTTAGATTTTTGGCAAGATCTATGTAAGAGACCTCTTGGCAAGTTTTTTGGACAAGCTCCCTATATGAGGTCTCTTGGCAGGACTTCTGAAAGAGATCTCTGTACAAGCTCTCTATAAGAGCTCTCTTGACAAGCCCTCTTGTCCCCAAAGGCTCACACCTGCTACGAAAAAAGGACATCGATTCAAAAAAAGGTAACACGCCTGCTCAGTACTCGAATGAAAATCTTCTTGCCTGATCTACAGACATTTGTCTCCTGTCTTTCTCTTTGGTACACATAGTCCCACAACCGCAATCAAGTGTGAGTGCATCATGTGTGTGTGCAGGTGCCAGAGAAGATCCTACAGAGTAGCATCAAGTGCCTGTGCAAGTGCACGAGAAGATCCTACAGTGTAACATCAAGTGTGCGTATGTGTGTGTGTGCGTGTGCGTCTGTGTCTGCATGTGCAAGTCCCAGAAAAGATCCTACAGCGTAGCCTCATATGTGCGCGCGTGTGCAAGTGCCAGAGAAGATCCTTTCACTAGATTTGGTGATGCAGGCGCCATAGCATATTCAGGAATGCGTGATGGGTTCTTGGCGTGGCACACACGAGATTGTATTCAGGGTATACCCAATTCACACGCTTCGCGCATGGAAAGCGCCTGAGAAGAGAAGAAGGTGGTATGAGACAATATATGAAGTGGAAATTCTGAAGAGGTTCAAGACACTGCCAGCCGTCGATCAGCGGCGGAGGGCCTGTGAATTGGCCCATTTGCCACTACGGACTTGTAAAGTGACGTTCCCTGCAACAGCTTAAAGAGAACAGCTTGTTCGTGACAACTAGCAGGTGCAGGGAAGTTGGCAAGTCTCCCTTCCCACTTCTATCCACAGCTTAGTTGCATGTGTGCCAGACGCCCCTGCGATTCTTGGATCCAATGCGCGCATAGAGCAAGTGCGCTGAAGTGATGATGTTACCTGCAACCGCCCGAAGGGAACAACTTGTTCATGACAACCTGCAAGTACAGGAAAACTGGCAAGTTCCCTTCCAACTTCCATATCCACAGCTTCGTTGCGTACGTGCCAGACGCCCATGCTATTCTTGGATCCAATGTGCACATGGAGCGAGTGCGATGAAGTGATGTTACCCGCATCCGCTTGAAGAGAACAACTTGTCACATGACAACCTGCAAGTGCAGGAAAGTGCGCAAGTTTCCCTTCCCACTTCTATCCACAGCTTCGTTGCGTGTGTGCCAGACGCCCTTGCTATTCTTGGATCCTATATGCACATGGAGCGAGTGCTCTGAAGTGATGTTACCCGCAAACGCCTGAAGAGAACAACTTGTCATGACAACCTGCAAGTACAGGAAAACTGGCAAGTCTCCCTTCCCACTTCCATCTACAGCTTCGTTGCGTGCGTGCCAGAAGCCCTGCGATTCTTGGATCCAATGTGCACATGAAGCGAGTGCGCTGAAGTGATGTTACCCGCAACCGCCTGAAGAGAACAACTTGTCATGACAACCTGCAAGTACAGGAAAGTTGGCAAGTCCCCCTTCCCACTTCTATCCACAGCTTCGTTGCGTGTGTGCCAGACGCCCCTGATATTCTTGGATCCTATATGCACATGGAGCGAGAGCGCTGAAGTGATGTTACCCGCATCCGCCTGAAGCGAACAACTTGTCATGACAACCTGCAAGTGCAGGAAAGTGCGCAAGTTTCCCTTCCCACTTCTATCCACAGCTTCGTTGCGTGTGTGCCAGACGCCCCTGATATTCTTGGATCCTATATGCACATGGAGCGAGTGCGCTGAAGTGATGTTACCCGCAACCGCCTGAAGAGAACAACTTGTCATGACAACCTGCAAGTACAGGAAAGTTGGCAAGTCTCCCTTCCCACTTCTATCCACGGCTTCGTTGCGTGTGTGCCAGACGCCCCTGCTATTCTTGGATCCTATATGCACATGGAGCGAGAGCGCTGAAGTGATGCTACCTGCAACCACCTGAAAAGAACAGCTTGTTCATGACAATCTGCAAGGACAAGAAAATTGGAAAGTCTCCTTTCTCCGATCTCGAATCTCCAATCTCGGAGACAGATCTCGAATCTCGGATCTCGAATCTCGCGTCTCCGATCTCATATCTCGGATATTGAGTCTCGGATCTTGAATCTCGGATCTCGGATCTGGGAGCATGGGATCTCGGATCTCCCATCTCGGATCTCGGATCTCGGATCTGGGATCTCGGATCTCGATCTCGAATGTCGGATCTCGGATCTCGGATCTCGGGTCTCGGATCTCGGATCTTGGATCTCGGATCTCGGATCTTGGATCTCGAATCTCGGATCGGGGATCTCGGATCTTGGATCTCGGATCGGGGATCTCGGATCTTGGATCTCGGATCTCGGATCTCGAATCTCGAATCTCGAATCTCGGATCTCGGATCTGGGATCCTGGATCTCGAATCTCGGATCTCGGATCTCGGATCTCGAATCTCGGATCTCGGATCTCGAATCTCGAATCTCGGATCTCGGATCTCGAATCTCGGATCTCGGATCTCGGATCTCGGATCTCGGATCTCGGATCTCGGATCTCGGATCTCGGATCTCGGATCTCGGATCTCGAATCTCGGATCTCGGATCTCGGATCTCGGATCTCGAATCTCGGATCTCGGATCTCGGATCTGTCCGTTGCCAAGTGCGTTCTGCCATACTTCATCACGAAAGGTAGCTCCAGTGGGGCTACCTTGAGTTTTGCTTTACTAAGTAAAGGGGAGGGTGGCCAGCGCCGTTACCTGATTATTCAGGAGATTGCTAGTCATTTCAGTACCCCCCCCCCTCCCCCCCACGCCACGCACCCTAAGAGCAGACTCAAAACATTGTAATTTACAGTATTCGGATCAAGAAACCACATTTTGTTACATGGTGAAAGCTCCGTAAATACCAGTGTTTTTGCTAGGTGCTGGCCAAAAAACACTGTAAATACCGTGCTTTTTGCTACCAGAGGCAAAAAACATCGTAAATACCGTGGTTTTGGGGCTTCCGACCCGCCAAACACATTGGTATTTACGGTGTTTTTTGCTCCGAGAGTTGCAAAAACACGCGAAAACACCACCTATTTGACGATTCTCGGCCACTACGGAACCGAGAAAAAAACGCTGCTGGGTAACACCAACACCAACACCACACCACCACCACCGCCGCCGCCGCCACCGCCGCCGCCGCCGCCGACGACGGCGACGGCGACGACGACGCTGCGACGCTGCGACGCTGCGACGCTGCGACGCTGGACGCTGCGACGCTGACGACGACGACGACGACGACCACGACCACGACCACGACCACGACCACGACCACGACCACGACCAGCGACCACGACCACGACCACGACCACGACCACCACGACCACGACCACGACCACGACCACGACCACGACCACGACCACGACCACGACCACGACACACAACAACAACAACAACAACAACAACAACAACAACAACAACAACAACAACAACAATACAACTACAACTACAACAACAACAACAACAACACCACACAACAACACACAACAACACACAACAACACACAACAACACACAACAACACACAACAACACACAACAACACACAACAATACACAACAATACACAACGACCCCAACGACCACAACGACCACAACGACCACAACAAACCACAACAACCACAACAACCACAACAACCACAACAACCACAACAACCTCAACAACCACAGCAAACAACCACACACAACAACACACAACAACCACAACAACCACAACAACCACAACAACCACAACAACCACAACAACCACAACAACCACAACAACCACACCACAACAACAACACCACAACAACAACACCACAACAACAATACAACAACAACACCACAACAACAACACCACAACAACAACACAACAACACACAACACCACGCAACACACAACACCACACAACACCACACAACACCCAACAACACCCAACAACACCCAACAACACACAACAACACACAACAACACACAACAACACACAACAACACACAACAACACACAACAACACACAACAACACACAACAACACACAACGACCACAACGACCACAACGACCACAACGACCACAACGACCACAACGACCACAACGACCACAACAAACCACAACAACCACAACAACCTCAACAACCACAACCAACAACCACAGCAAACAACCACAGCAAACAACCACAGCAAACAACCACAGCAAACAACCACAGCAAACAACCACAGCAAACAACCACAGCAAACAACCACAGCAAACAACCACCACAACAACCACAACAACCACAACAACCACAACAACCACAACAACCACAACAACCACAACAACCACAACAACCACAACAACCACAACAACCACAACAACCACAAGAACAACAACAACAACGCCCACAACCACAACCACAACCACAACCACAACAACAACAACAACGACGACAACGACAACGACAACGACAACGACAACGACAACGACAACGACAATGACAACGACAAGGACAACGACAACGACAACGACAACGACAACGACAACGACAGTGACAACGACAACGACAACGACAACGACAACGACAACAACACCAACAACAACAACAACAACAACAACACGAACAACACCAACACCAACAACACGACCAACAACATCAACACCACCAACAAAGCCAACCACACCAGCAACACTAACAATACCAACAACACCACGAACACCAACAACACCACCAACACCAACATTAACAACACCAACAACACCAACACCACTAGCACCACCAACACCACCAACACCACAACCACCGCCAACCCCAACCACACCGCCGAAGCCTTTCCGTCGCTTTTACCAGACTCCACTTCATGTTTTTAGAGAGAAAATGGCCGCGTCGCTTTTACCAGACTCCACTTCATGCTTTTTTCCTATTTTTTCCTTGCCCTCTCCCCTTTCTTTTTTCTTCGGTTCCTTTCTTGCTCACCTACCTTTTGTGTTCCCCCTCTCAAGTTTGTCATATTTTGCACAGTTGTTATCAGCATACTACGCGTGGAGAGAGTTGGGATGGTGCCGCATGTTTATTTTTGTTGCGGCTTTTCGGTTTTCTTTGAGCAGGCTTAAAAACAGTTTTTTTGATGCTGAACCAGACCTTTGTTTTGCTGCTGGTTAAAAGACGCCTTGGTGCAACTCCAAGAAATGAGCAATAGAAACGCAGAGAAACTGCTCAATGTTTTGTTGATATTCGTTGCACGTGCTTTACATCATTCAAGAGGCGCTTCTGAGCAAGAACGGCGTGAACTTTGCTTCAGCAGCTCCTATTTTGCTGGCTATTTGGCAGCAAGTCCGTTAGAGCAATGCTTTCGCAAGCCTTCTCAACCTGGCTAAGGTTGGCGCAATTGCTGCCGCAGCTGCGGCGTGGTTTATTGCTTCGAGGAAGAAGTGAGCTGAAAAAATTGGCTGGTTGAATCTGGTTGAGAAGTGAGATCTCACATCTTTGTAGAGGTTGAGTCTGTTGGTCTCAGCGAATGTGCTTTGTGACCCAGGCCCCACGACTATTGACGTGCTACTGTGTGGCTAAGCCCAGTGGCCATGTACAGGGCCCTGTCACAGAGTCTTCAAAAACCCACTCCGTGCGATGTTCAGCCTGCAGGACAGACAAACAGTGGTAACGCAAGCTCTATACTCTATACGTACCGACGTACCTTCCATTGTTGTAAGCACAAATTTCCTCCATGCGAGCCTCAAAAACTTTCATTTTAAGGCGTTCAAGGCACATGTGTTTCATACAGATAAAGTTGTTGGAGTACCTTGCGGACCTAGCACTTGCAAACTGGACTGAGCATGTTGTCCAAATTGGGATCGTTGACGCTTGCATGTTGGAGCAGCCTTGCACAATTGTTGACCATGAAGTGAACACACGGTGAACATCTTGCTGCCTGATGCATTAATCAAGGGGCATTTGAATCAACATCGGCACGGACCGAATCTTCAACGGTGAATGAGGCCCTGTTTTGGCCAAAACTGAGTGGTCAACTTTGAACACATGCATCATTTTGTTCATTTTCGTGCCATTGGTGCAGTGATACTAAAATTGCATCCAAGTCCTGTATGTAGCTAATGCCCCAACGATAACAAAGGTACCACATTCAAGTACCATGCTGAAGACCACGCTTGACTCAAAACACTTTGGGACTTAGGGAGCCAAACTAATGGCTTGGCAAAAGCATTCATACTTCACGGACAAGAGTATCTTAATCGAAATAGACTGAAATAGAATATTCGGTGATGCTTTGACAGTCGAACCCAGTGAATTGTTGCCGGGTGGTTGAAAGCAAACCACCTCAGCTACCATGCCCACTGCGATCAGAACCTGGCGGTTGAGGTCCAGCCATGGATAGTCAGATCGGAAGCCGGCAGTTGAGGTCCAGCAGTGCCCACTGCGCGCGGAAGTTGGCGAAGAGATTGGCGACGAGTTGGCAAGGCGGAAGTGGACGTGGAAGTTGATGCAGGCATGATCGAGGAGAAATTGGAGGAGGAGGAAGAGGAGGAGGCGGAGGAGGAGGAGAAGGAGGATGAGGAGAACAGCTCTGATAAAATCTAACAATCCTCACCTGGCAGGTGGGGAAGTATGCGTTTTTTTGGTTGTGTAACTTCATTCCGCTAGCTTGGCGAGATTATATCAGCGGTCTTTCCAATGCAAAGTCCGCGGTATCAAAAAAATATTCGTATCCATGACCAGCAGGCTTGAAATATCTGTGGACATAATATTTTGGGGTTTACTGCGCCAAACAATGTTGTGCTATACTCGCCAAAATAATTGAAATCTTATAATGAATTCAAAAAAGTGATGTCCACACGCGGTAACTTCAAAATAACGGAAATACAAAACGAACATTCCCCAAAAAAACGCTACTTTACTTCGAGTTATCCCCACCATGACATTTATACGTTTTATTACTGGCAAATCTTCTGATATTCTATCTGACATATCTTCTGGCATTTTATCTGGAATATCTTCTGGCATTCTATCTGGCATATCTTCTGACATTCTATCTGGCATATCTTCTGGCATTTTATTTGGCATATCTTCTGGCATATCTTCTGACATTCTATCTGGCAAATCTTCTGGTGTTCTATCTGGCAAACATTCTGGCACTTTATCTGGCATACCTTCTGGCATTCTATCTGACATTCTATCTGGCATACCTTCTGGCATTCTATCTGGCATATCTTGTGGCATTCTATCTGGCATATCTTCTGGTATATCTTGTGGCATTCTATCTGGCATATCTTCTGGCATTTTATCTGGCATATCTTCTGGCATTCTTTCTGATATTCTATTTGGCGTTCTATCTGGCAAATCCTCTGGCATTCTATCTGGCCGTTGAGGTCCTGCGGTGCCCACTGAGCTCGGAAGGTCCCAGGTTGAGGTCCAGCGGTGTCCACTGAGCTCTGAAGGTCCCAGGTTGAGGTCCAGCGGTGCCCATTGGTAGTTGAGGTCCAGCAGTGCCCACTGCGCTCAGAGGCGGTTGAGGTCCAGCCGTGGATAGTCAGATCGGAAGCCGGCAGTTGAGGTCCAGCAGTGCCCACTGTGCGCGGAAGTTGGCGAAGAGATTGGCGACGAGTTGGCAAGGCGGAAGTGGACGTGGAAATTGATGCAGGCATGATCGAGGAGAAATTGGAGGAGGAGGAAGAGGAAGAAACGGAGGAGGAGGAGGAAAAGGAGGATGGAGAACAACTCTGATAAAATCTAATAATCCTCACCTGGCAGGTGGGGAATAGATATTCAACCTCCGCGCAGGAGGAAATATAGATTTAATTTGTATTCGTAAAAATTCAAAAATTATTAAAATTTTGAAAAAAAAGGTCGCGGAAAAATTCCACATATATATTAAATTTAGAAAATATATTTTAAAAATTCAATTGAAAAACTTACCAAACGACAATGGATCAGAGGGGCATCAAACCCCCGACCGATCCTGATCGACTATATTATATTTACATCCCCCCCCTTTAACCCTGGAATATTTGGGAGGGGGGGTAAGGCAAGAAATTTCCGAGAAATATTTTACCTGATTATGTGAAATATACTTCCCCTATGTATTTTTTGGGCTTCGGAAAAACGTGGGGGGGGATTTTTCGGATGCTATATTTTAGCCTAGAAATCGTATAATATACCTTTTTATTTTGCGTAAAACGAATATATATTTTTTATATATCGATATTTTTTTTTTGGATTTTTTTTAATTATTATGTGGGTAGGATCCATACTATATATAAATATATAATTACCGATTTCTAAAAAAAATAATAAAAAAATAAATTTACTAAATAACTTTTTAGGCTTGAATTTAATTATGTTTAGAAATTATTATAAAGTAGAATTTTTTTAGCTGAAATATTTTACTTTAGGGAAATAACATATTTTGAAGCAAACCCGCCTCTAAAATAAAATATTTTAATTTTTATAAATATTTATTGGAAATATTACTATTTTTTTTAAACTAATAAAATTTTAACCTCTGAATAGGGAAAAAAAATATATTAAATTAATTTTAATTTTTATTTATATAAATTAAATTTATATTTATTAATTTAATAAAAATTATATATATTTTTTTTGAAAAATTAATATTAGAAAATTATAAATATATATATTTTTTATATAACTAAATTAAAATAATAATAATTATTTTACTTCGAATTATTTTTATTAAAACATTTATATATTTTGTTATTGGTAATTTTTTTACATTTTATTTGACATATTTTTTGGCATTTTATTTGAAATATTTTTTGGGATTTTATTTGGAATATTTTTTGATATTTTACCTGGCATATTTTTTACAAAATGTTTTGGTATATTTTTTGGCATAGTAGTTGGTATATTTTTTGACATTTTATTTGGTATTTTATTTGGTAAATATTTTGGTATTTTATTTGGTATATTTTTTGGTATTTTATTTGATATTTTATTTGGTATAGCTTTTGGAAATATTTTCTGGTATTTTATCTGGTATATTTTTTATAAAATATTTTGGCACATTTTTTGGCATAATATTTGGTATATTTTTTGATATTTTATTTTGTATTTTATTTGAATTTTTTTGGTATTTTATTTGATATATTTTTTGGAATTTTAGTTGGTATATTTTTAAATATTTTATTTGGTATATTTTTTGGCATTTTATTTATTATATATTTTATTTGGTATATTTTTTGGCATATGGTTTGGTATATTTTCTGATATTTTATTTAATATATTTTTTGGTATATTTTCAGGCATTTTATCTGGCATTCTATTTGGCATAGTTTTTGACATTCTATCTGGACTATCTTCTGGCATATCTTCTGGTATTTTATTTAATATATTTTTTTTGGTATTTTATCTGATATATTTTTTAATATTTTACCTGGTATATTTTCTGGCATTCTATTTGGTATATTTTCTGATATTCTACCTGATATATTTTTTGGTATTTTATCTGACATTTTATTTGACATTTTATCTGGTAAATATTCTGGGTCAGCGGTGCCCACTGAGTTCGGAAGATCCCAGGTTGAGGTCCAGCGGTGCCCACTGAGCTCTGAGGGTTCCAGGTTGAGGTCCAGCGGTGCCCACTGGGTTCGGAAGCCGGCAATTGAGATCCAGCGGTGCCCACTGCACTCAGAACGGTTGAGGTCCAGCCGTGCCTACTTAGATCGGAAGCCGGCTATTGAGGTCCAACAGTGCCCACTGCGCTCAGAACCTAGCGGTTGAGGTCTAGCCGTGTCCACTCAGATCGGAAGCCGGCAGTTGAGGTCCAGCGAGTTGGCAAGGCGGAAGTGGACGTGGAAATTGATACAGACATGGTCGAGAAGAAACTGGAGGAGGGGAGGAGGAGGAGGAGAAAAAGGATGAAGAAATTAATTATGATAAAATATAATAATTCTTATCTAATAAATATAAAATAATATTATTATATAATATTTAATTTTAAATTATTTTTCATATTATTTTTTATTAAATATATTATTATATATTTTTTTTTTTCTAAATTCAAACATAAATTATTTTTATTAATAATAAAATATTTTTTAAAATTATTTTATTTTTTTCGAATTATGTCCATTATAACATTTATATATATATATATCATTGGTAAATCTTCTGATATTCTATCTGATATATTTTCCGGCATTTTATCTGGCATATCTTCTGGCATTCTATTTGGTATATCTTCTGGTATTCTACCTGAGATATTTTCTGACATATAGTTTGGCATATCTTCTGACATTTTATCTGGCAAATCTTCTGGCATTCTATCTGGCCGTTGAGATCCAGCGGTGTCCACTGAGCTCGGAAGGTCCCAGGTTGAGGTCCAGCGGTGTCACAGTGTCCATTGGGTTCGGAAACCGGCAATTGAGGTATAGTGGTGTCCACTGCACTCAGAATTTGGTGGTTGAGGTCCAGTCGTGCCCACTCAGATCGGAAGCCGGCTGTTGAGGTCCAGCAGTGCCCACTGCACTCAGAAATTGGCGGTTGAGGTCCAGCCGTGCCCACTCAGATCGGAAGCCGGCAGTTGAGGTCCAGCAGTGCCCACTGCGTGCGGAAGTTGGCGAAGAGACTGGCGACATATTGACAAGGCGGAAGTGGATGTGGAAATTGATACAGATATGG